CCCACAATCTGACCCCAGCTTATTTATCCAGCCCCTGAAAAAGTAAGTCTGCCTCACTCTAGCTAATTCTCCAGCTGTTAGATGCACTGAGCCAGGAAGACAACATCTCCTTCACCTTGCCACTCTTCATGTGTGCCTTTATACATGTTCTTCTCTCAGGCCCAGCTCATCACTGAAGGCTTCGTCTCTTACCTGTGAAGTCCTTCCTGTGCCTATCCTACCTCCGAATTGAATGAATTCTTCCCCTGGTTAGCTCCTGCAGCTCTGCATACACTGCATTTCTACAATAGCAGTATCACACTGCTTCATACAGTAGCTCCTCCCTTATCTGCTAGACATATGCTCTAAGATCCCCAGTGGATGCCTGAAACAGCAGATAATACCAAGCCCTGTATGTAACTATGTTCTTTCCCATACATACACACCTGTAATAAAGTTTAACTTATAAATCAGGTATAGTAAGAGATTAACAATAGCTAGAGGCTCGGCGCCTGTGGCTCAAGCGGCTAAGGCGCCAGCCACATACACCTAAGGTGGCGGGTTCGAAACCCCAGCCGGGACCCGCCAAACAACAATGATGGCTGCAACCAAAAAAAAAATGGCCAGGCGTTGTGGCGGGCGCCTGTAGTCCCAGCTACTTGGGAGGCTGAGGCAGGAGACTCGCTTGAGCCCAGGAGTTGGAGGTTGCTATGAGCGTGATGCCATGGCACTCTACCCAGGGGGCAGCTTGAGACTCCGTCTCAAAAAAAACAATAGCTAGAACAATTGTAACAATATGCTATAATAAAAGTTGTACAAATGTGGTGTCTCTCAAAATATCTTATTGTACTGTACTCACCCTTCTTGTGTTGAAGGGACAGCAGTATGACACAAACTTTTATCATACTACTCAGAACAGCATGCAATTTAAAACTTACAAATTGTTTATTTATAGATGTTTCCATTTAATATCTTTGAACCAGTATTGACCATGGGTAACTAAAACCACGGAAAAGGAAAACACAGATAAAAGGGGACTACTGTTTACAGGTACCTAAAAATTAGAGAGAGTGATGTGTGTGTATGTATCAGGGTGTCCATAAAGTTTGTGTGCAATTTAAACTATTAAACTATTTTTTGTTTGTTTGTTTTGAGACAGAATCTCACTATGTTGCCCTCAGTAGAGTTCCATAGTATCACAGCTCACAGCAACCTCCAACTCTTCGGCTTAAGTGATTCTCTTGCCTCAGCCTCCCAAGCAGCTGGGACTACAAAAACGCCTGGCTATTTTTTTGTTGCAATTGTTTAGCTGGCCGGGGCTGAGTTCGAACCCGCCACCTTTGGTGTCTGTGGCTGGTGCCATAACCACTGTGCTATGGCACCAAGCCTTAAACTATTTTAAATTGCACGCAAACTTTATGGACACCCTGTATATATAAAAGGGACTACTATAACTAATATTTTTACCTATCTCTCCCCACAACAAAAATGTGAATCCAAGGGCCATACCTCATTGATCTTTACCTCCAGAATCTGGCACAAAGTAAGGGGTTCTGTGTTAGTAGAATTAATGTCATCCTCTGATTCCGGAGCCCCGTCATCCTTTCCATTCTCTCCCCTCTCACCACACACTCCTTTCCCACTTTACAATTCTGCTTTAGCATTAGGCTGCCTGAGTTCTCCTTCAATTAGACATTCTTGGCCATGAACATTACCCAGATCTCCCCCTACCTAGCTCCACAAACACATAATTTTGAGGGGAAGGTCAACATTCCATTTCTACTAAGGGCTGGGCACAGATGCTCACGCCTATAATCCTAGCACTTTGGAAGCCCAAATAGAGGAACACTTGAGGACAGGACTTCAAGAACAAACTGACAAGTTCTAATTCATTTTGATACCAGCCTAAAATGCTCTTGTTTACCAAAACTAACCCCTCTCCATTCTCCATGTCTTGTCTATTCTGATTCTAAAAGTTCAAGCCTGAAGTCACCCCAAAAAGCCTCAATCCAACCAAACCTCTTCTGAGGTTTGCAGTGTCTTCTGTGATGGTCAGATCCAGTCTGAGTCCAGTTTTGTTTTGTTTTGTTTTTTTTGAGACAGAGCCTCAAGCTGTCCCCCTGGGTAGAGTGCTGTGACATCACAGCTCACAGCAACCTCCAACTTCTGGGCTCAAGCGAGTCTCCTGCCTCAGCCTCCCAAGTAGCTGGGACCACAGGCCCCTGCCACAATGCCTGGCTATTTTTTGGTTGCACCCATCATTGTTGTTTAGCGGGCCTGGGATGGATTTGAACCCGCCACCTTAAGTGTATGTGGCTGGCGCCTTAGCCACTTGAGCCACAGGCGCCAAGCCTGAGTCCAGTTTCTTACTATACTGCAGGAAGTGACATTTAAGAAGTCACCCACTGCCCTGGGACTCAGTTTCTTTACTTCTTTTTTTTTTGAGACAGAGTCTCACTTTGTTGTCCTCAGTAGAGTGCCGTAGCATCATAGCTCACTGCAACCTCAAACTCTTGTGCTCAAGTGATTCTCTTGCTTCAGCCTCCAAAGTAGCTGGGACTACAGGACCCACCACAACGCCCAGCTAATTTTAGAGACAGGGTCTTGCTCTTGCTCAGGCTGGTTTTGAACCCGTGAGCTCAGGCAATCCACCTGCCTTGGCCTCCCAGAGTGCTAGGATTACAGGCATGAGCCACTGTGCCCAGCCAGTTTCTTTACTTCTTAACAAAGAGAAAATGCTATCTGAAGTTCAAGCAAGGTCACATAAGTAAAAGCATTTCAACAAGAAAATGCTATATAAAAATACAGGCTAGGAAGGAGCACATGAGCCAATGTGAAAGAGTTCTCAATGGCCAAAGCTGAAATAATTTGAGCAACAAAATAAAGTAATACTAGATTATAACCCAAAGCATAAAATAAATATCCCTGAGTCTACACTGATATAAATAACTGAATAAACTATTATTCATCAATAATTATTAATTATTTATATAATTTATAATTATTATTTATAAATAACTGAATAAATTAATGGGGGGAAAGAGAGAAATCTTCTGTACACAGTAATTCCAAATAATATGTGTAGATACTTGCCCTTAAAGAGAGGAAAGGTAACTCCCACTCCTTAGGAATAGGCTGCACATGGTGACTGCCTGCCAAAGAGTACAGTATCGGCTCGGCGCCTGTGGCTCAAGTGCCTAACGCACCAGCCACATACACCTAAGGTGGCAGGTTTGAATCCAGCCCGGCCCGCCAAACAACAATGATGGCTGCAACCAAAAAAAAAAAAAATAGCCGGGCATTGTGGCCGGTGCCTGTGGTCCCAGCTACTTGGGAGGTGGAGGCAGAAGATGTGGTCCCAGCTACTTGGGAGGTGGAGGCAGGAGACTCGCTTGAGCCCAGGAGTTGGAGGCTGCTGTGAGCTGTGATGTCACAGCGCTCTACCCAGGGGGATAGCTTGAGGTTCTGTCTCAAAAAAAAAAAAACAAAGAGTACAGTATGCAAAGAGTAGAAAATAGAGTAACTTTATAGTGGAAAAACCTGGCAAACCCTATTTCAGCCAAGTGATCAAGATCTGCTTAAGATCAAGATCAAGATCAACTTAAGCCAAGTTGACAGTATGTGCACTTGAATGGTATGATTAACGGGCAATCTACCTCTGTGGTCTTCTTCTCAATAATGCTTAAGCCCAGTCTTAGGAGAAAAACACCAGACAAGTTTCAATAGAGGGGCATCCTATAATGTATATGTCCAGTTTTCTTCAAAACTGTCAAAGTCCTCAAATGAATTAAATTCTGAACTGCTACAGCCAAGAGAAGCATAAGGAGATATGACAACTAAATGTAATGTGGTAAACCTGGATATGATCAAGAAACAAAAAAGTACTTGGGTTAAAAACTACAGAAATCTTAGCCAGGCATTGTGGCGGGTGCCTGTAGTTCCAGCTACTTGGAAGGCTGAGGCAAGAGAATCGCTTGAGCCCAAGAGTTGGAGGTCACTGTGAGCTGTGACACCATAGCACTCTACAGAAGGCAACATAGTAAGACTCTGTCTCAAAAAAATAAAAAAAAAACCTACAGAAATCTTGCAAGACCAAGGACTTTGGTCAATAATAATGTAACAATTTAGGTTCATTTATTGCAACAAGTGTACCACACTGATGTAAGATGTTCATAATTGGGGAAATAGTTTGGGGGACATAGGAACTCAGTACTATCATCTCAATTTTTCTGTAAATCTAAAATTGTTCTAAAAATAAATATTTAAGGAATAAAGACCCAGATTTGGGAACATAAAGTCTATTTTTTTAAACAGTGATTTTTTTTTTAACTTGGAAAAAAATATGCTAGGGTTATGATTTTCAGCTAACAGTTAAAACAGGAGGTTCAGGCATGCATGAAAAATGTCATTCTCCCCACTTTTGGTGCACACACAAATCATGGGGTCAAAATCTGGAATCTACTGGGAATTTGCAAGTGTTTCCCTTCCATTTATTCTGCAAAGTTAGATTTACACTCTTTTCCTAAGGTCAAATAGGAAAAAAAATCGGCAGGAAAAATGCTAATGGCTGGAGGAGGGAGCGAATGCACAGCTCCAAGTATACGTGGCTAAACCGGTTTACTCCGACGAATTAAAAAAATAAAAAAGAGGAAAAGAAAGAAATCATGACTTCACGACTTTGGTCATGGCGCTGGACTGGCAGTCTATCTACCAGGCTCCAAGCAACCGGACCGTCATCCAGGCCCCGCTTACTTCTGGTTCTGGAAACCAGAATGTATCCGAATCTGAGCTAGACAACGGAAAGCGAGGAAACCCAAGAGGAAGGGGAGAATGGTGGGTCAAGCAAGCAGGAGACAGGGCTCCCAGGGAAGAAGCGGCGAACTTGGCCCCTCTCCGAGCCCACTGGGGTGCCTGGCCCTGTTCCGCCCCCGGGCCCCACGGCCGCCTTTGGTTGCCCCAAAGCTGGGGCCCGTGTGTGAGACTGGTGCTGCTGCATCTCTCATTGAACACCCCCTACTCACCGGTCCCGAGCTCCGGGCCGCGAATCCGGGGCTAAGGCCCCTCCTAGCTCGCGCCGGTCTGTTCCGGGTCCCGCTCCTCCACTAGAAACCAACGCGTCAGCTCGTACCCGCCCGGTAATCTCCCGGCTCTTCGGGGCCCTTCGCCGAGATTTCTCCGGACCAGCCCCGGGATTGGCCCCTGCCAAACTCAGCCTTCCAATGGGAACCTTAGCCTCCTTTTCGTCACTGATCACTGGGCAAATCCCCAGGCAGCCGCCGGAGGTGGGGCAGCAGGGGCTGAGAAAAGGAAACTGAAATCAGGTGCGGCCGAGCCTTTGCCCGAGCCGCAGCCGGAGTTTGGCGCGTAATCCGGGTGATCTGTTACAGGCTCTACGAGAGCTAAATTCTGAGGTCTAATGAAGCCCCTATCTAGGTAGGACTGTGGGGTGCAAGAATGTCCTCTCCTCCACTGCCCAACTCCCGCCTCGCGCTGGATCAGGGTCTCAGGGCACTTTGAGACGAAATGGCTCTGTCCAGGTGCTCAACACTATGACTTCCTGCCCCCAAAGTGGCCTAAATTTGCTTCTAGGACAAGGCAGGATTTTAGCAAGGAAACATTTTCAGGGGCCTATTTACAAATATTATCTACCACTTCCTAGGTAAAATAATGTTAAACCAGGCAGGCATTGTCACCCTTCTACAGAAAGAAAAATATGAGGTTCTGGGAGCTTAAAGGTCTGGGCCCCGCTCAGTGGGGCTGTTCCTGCTTCTTGGCACTAAACTTAGAAAACACTAAGGCTGCAAAGCGGCCAGGACTCTGGCCCCCGGGGTCCTTAGTGGGGAATATAAGAGGCTCTGGCGCGCCCGGCCGCCCACTGGCTTGGAAGCTGGAGGCGTAGAAGCTTAGCTGGGGGCCCAGCCTGCGCTCGCCTCCTGCTTTGCCTGCAGCCGCCGCACCTGGTCCAATCGCGGGGTCATCCACTGTGCTGCCATTAGTATTTCCCAGGCACCGCAGCGTGAAAATCCTCCAGTCTTTGCAGGATAGGCGGGCAGCTACTGCGTTAAAGCTCCTGTACTGGGGAAGACATGGCCAAGGCTCTTCGGGTCTGGCAGTACGCTACTCCTACGGGTGGAGATCTAGCTGGGGACACAGGCCGCCTTCCCAGGCAGGGGTGAGGGAGTGGACTGCAGTTTGGGAGGTATCCATGGTCCTAGACCCTAAAACCTGTCCAGCCTCAGTCCCTCCCCCGCTGGAGGTGGAGAAATTCGGAGCGAATACTCGGGGTTAGCCAGTGATGGAGGAGGTGAGGAATACAGAGGAAATCCACGCCCACATTTTACATCCTGCCTCTGTCTCTGCCCACTTCCTGGTCATTTTTCCCATCGCCCAGCGGTACAACTGGCGTTGTCCCTCTTAGGGGAAGGGGTCGCACCTCACCTACTGGCACGACTCTCCTGAGCCTGTGTTCTGGATGTGTTCTCAGCACATCACCTAGACTCTTTTTTTTTTTTTTTTT